TTTATGTTGACTAATTTATATACAATTTAGATCCTGTCCTCCAATATCCTGTTTATTTTATGATCATAGTTTAAATTCATTGTGATCCAGTGGATTTGACCATTAAAAGGAGGATATATAATCTTTTTAGTGCGGCTAGGAAAACTTCCTTGTCGTTGAAATATGTACATCTGCAGGTTTCATGCCTATTTCTCCAGAACCAAATCAATCGGGAAAACAAATTTTCTCCCCCAGTTTTGTTCAACAATAAGTGAGGGTCATAATGATGACCCAGAGCCCATCCTCTAATCCTTGCCAATCCTGAAATGCCTTTTCTACTTACTACGAAGGTAATATGACTTTGTTTTAGAATATCTTTAAAAAGCACAGGATGAAAATAAAATCACTCACAGTTCTGTAACTGTGACATTTTGTTAACATTTTAGTGCACTGAAATACCTTTTAGTCATTAAAAAATAATCTTAATTTAGGTTGCATATTCTACTTTATTCTGATTTTTCAAAAAATGCCCATCCAGGTATATACAAATTCAGAGTTGGTCATAATATTTAGTTAAAGAGAAATCATCACTTTCCAGCCTTTTTCAGACAACTGGGTGTTTGTACTTAACTCTGGGGAGTTTTCCCCTGTGTCTAAAGCAGCTGTCCCCACAATCACAGCACATTCCCAAAGACAGAGGAAGAACTGTTCCCAAAGCAAAGGGAAATTGCATGATGGATATCTTGGATTTTACAAAATACTAGCTTTTATTAACACAAGGATAAAAATCAAAATACTGAAGATACTCTTGTACAGAAGAAAACATTCTTTCTCATATTAGCTTTAAATGTTGCTACCTAAGGTATAGGCTGAAGTTTTTTATCCCCAAGGTGATTGATTTATCAGGCTGCGTACCAATAGTTTTTAAAAAATCTTTAAGACCCAATTAGCTATTTCCTGAAAATGTCATAATAACACTTATTTCTGTTTTAGATTGTCATGTGGGATATCACTGCACATGCAGATCGCATAGAAAACATTAAGTCGGGTGGTAGTAGAAGTAAAAAAGCCACACTCAAGGTTAGCTTTTATAACTTTTCATTTGCAAGTTTTTTCCATTCAGAAGTTTATCAAAAAGCACATAACAGATTTGCCAAACCTAACAAAGACTCGATAAAAAATAAATAAATAAATGAAAGAGAATATTATTCCGCAAGTCTTCACATCTGCTTGTGGACATGTTCTAAATTTCTTTTATGTGGGCCATTGGTTAAAAACACAACACAACATCTATCCCAGGATGTTAGGTTCTTTTCTGTTATTTGTTAAATAAAATGAAGGGACTAAGCGACTTGCCTAAAGTGAGTGATGTAGCTGAAAGGGCACTGGAAGAGGGGCTGGGTGCAGGCTTTGCATCATATCCTGGGCGTACGAGTGTGGGCGTGCCGCCTCCCCCCAGCAGGAATAAGTCTGCTCTTGTATAAAATGAAGGGTTGCAGTCCTTTCTGATACTAATATATGAGGGTACTTCAAAAAGTTCATGGAAAGATTTGTATTACCTTTCAATTCTATTTTTTCATGAACTTTTTGAAGTACCCTCAGACTATGATTTTGTGAGGCTGTGGATTCTGTTAAGAAGGTTGGGAAAAGTTTCCTCAGCTCCCAACTCTGCACTTACCCACCCTATTGCACATCCATCTAGCCTCAGTTCCTCAGCCTTCACATCAACAGGTCTCTTACCAAGGAATGGTGGTATGTGACCTTTCGTGCACGCCAAGAAATACTCGTTCAAAAATGTGAGGTCTCATTGATTCTTTAGGGAGTAGGTCTACAATACTTGTTAAATTTCGAGATCATATCTTAGACTAAACTAAAGGGAACAGTAGATAATCCTATTACTTAAATATATGGTATATAGAAACACTAATTTATGTTTTTCCTTGAACTGGTATATCTCTGAGTTATTAATTTTAATTAGAATCATGAGTAAAATGTGAGTTCACCCGTCAGCTCTCTGAAATTAGCATGGAACTTTCTTTTAACGTTTCTCCAGCCTATGTTTCTCCTTGATCCAGAGAGTAATAAAGAAGCGATGTATATCAGACATTGTGCAGTCTCTTCAATAGAAAGTGGACATAAGAAAGTAATTACGGATATACACTGGCTGTCTGACACATTTGAGGTGAGTCTCGATGGCTTTATACTTTCCTCCTACTGGATTGTAAATTTTCAGATTTTATCCAAAAATGATGTTTCAAGTCACTGATTCATTCACATTCAAATTGTGAAATAACCAGGAACTAAATGTCAAAAAATTGGGTCACTGTTGCCCAACCAGTGTCTGATTTGGGGATGAGAATAAAGCCAGTCTTTTTGACTTGGATGGTTTATAACTAAAAAATGTAGGTGGTGTCAACATTGACCTAATACAATAGTGGGGAAGATGAGGGTTTGATATGTAAAAGTAAAGTGCAAGTATTTTACACCCTTAGTATTTATGAATTAAAAATTTACGATCACAGCTATTTGGGGACAGGCAGCCCTAAGGATCTGTGTCATATTGTAATATGTAATTTGTTGAGGCACAGCCTTGAGTTGACAGTGCTGAGGGGCTGGTAGGTGAAAACTACTTGCATAGTAAGTGAGCCTGCCTGACTGCCAAGCTTTGTAACTCTATGCTTTGTGGTTCTATAACCTCACAAAGGGTGGTAGTTTTGAATTTGGAAACTGACAAGCTCCCCAATGTTTACTTCAAGGACATTGATAGTCAACTGTATACTCTGAAGAATTAACAGTTGAGAATATCAAAAAATATCCTGAGAAATTAGAGTTATGAGAGGTAATTAACTCTACCAGGTATTCAAATAGATTATGTAAAGCAATGATATTTTAAACAGTCATAATGGACCAAAATAAATAGCCCAGATACAGTTTCTCTTATCTATAATTATTTAACATATAATAATGAAAGTTATAACACAAGAAAAAGAAGTCCATTTCAACTCATACCATACACAGAAATTAATTTAGATGTTATTAATTTCAATAAAAATAACTTGAGTCATAGAAAAATATAGCAAATCATAATAGAATATCAGATTTCTAAGATGGCAATAGTTTTCTAAGTTTTTTAATGTTGAAAGAAATCTCAAAGAGAAAGATTGACAGATTTAAAACATAACATATAAATTTCTAAATTAAAAAATAAAGAGCAAATAACTAAATGGAGGAACATATTTGTGCCAAATATGGTAAATATAAAAATTTCCAATAAATAAGCAAAACACACACACTAAACAAAACAATTAGTAAATCAGCATGAAAATCATCGAGGCTTTCTAATATCAAACAATTTAATAACAAACCAACAATAATGTACTATTTTGGACTTAATTTTTAAATGAAAATTTCAAGCAATACTCAGTGTTGAAAAGGATGAGGTGGACCAGTTAACACTAAGATTGCTGATTGCAACATAAAACTTTTGGAACGGTTAGTCAATGCAGTTCTTAAGTCATCCAAATTTTCAATTTGGTAATTGAAGTGGGAATTCATACTAAGAAACAATCCAATTAGTGCCTCAAGGTACAAAATTACACGCACACCTTAAAAAATCATGTCAAAGTGTATCCATGAAAGAAGATTGGGAAAGAAGATTGGAAAAGAAGATTTATATTTGATTTCAAAACCTTCTGTTTTCCAAACTTCTGTAATATTATTATTTTTTAATCATTAAAACCTAAAACCCTAGAGCAAGCACATCTCTTGTCTCTGACTTCATGCGGCAAAGAAGCCTCAGTAAAGGGAGAGGTAGCACAACGCACGTTCGAGGACTGTTCATCAGACCCCAGTGGAAGTTGGCAGCCGCTGGCGAACCTGAACCGGTTCGCACCGCTGTGTCAGCCAGCACTGTTGTGGCCGAGCTCCAGGGATGCCTCCAGACCTGACAGGGCATCACCCACACCTTCCTCCACCCCTCCTTTCACTGTTGTTGTTGTTTGCCGCTGGAAGCCCACCTTTGTGTACTATTTTGTTCATCAGTCCTCTTGGGAGGGGAGGGGAATAGAGGAAAGTCATGCGTCCCTATGGACTGTGAGAGCAGCATCTTCACACTTCACCTCAAAGCCTTTCACCTCATTTGAGAGCTACTGGGTTGGAATTTTGGACCTTCTAGGACCCCGAGGAGCCATAAACCCTCCTGGAGATCCTCTGTGCTTGCAGAGTTGTGCCAATAGTTACAGAAAGTATCAGGTCTCAGCATTCCCACCACACCATCGCTTTCTTCTTTAACACCTATCCTCTTTTCTGTTGATCTTATGTTAAGCAATCTCATAAAAGCCCCTATGTTTGACTCAATTGATAGTGAAAAATTGAAAGAGCCTACATTTCTAATAATAACAGATAATGAACTTATACCATCATCTACATGTTATGAAACTATCAAAATAATTTATGAATATATAGGTAAATGAATTCACAGGTAAATATGTGAAGTGAAAAATCTCAAGATAAAAATGTATATGCATTCTAATTAAAACTATATTTAAAATGTTTCTGTGACAAAGGACTAGACAAGAATATATGGCAGAATTGGGTTTGATTTTAAAACCTTCTATTGGGGCCGGCCCGGTGGCGCACTGCTACAGTGCGCCGCTTGGGAGCGCAGCGGTGCTCCCGCCGAGGGTTCGGATCCCACATACAGACCGGTTCCTGCTCACTGGCTGAGCGAGGTGCGGGCGCAGCACCGAGGGTTGCGATTCCGTTGCCGGTCCCGGTCCGGTACGGGCGCAACACTGAGGGTTGCGATCCATTGCCGGACACGAAAAAAGACAAAAAGGAAAAAAAAAAAACCTTCTATTTACCAACTTCTGTGGTAGTGCTATGTTCTTTTATTAAAATTTAAAACAAAGAAGAAAAGAAATAAAAAGGTAAGCAGCTATAAGAAAAAAACATTACTCTTGTAAGTACACAGAATTTCCTTTTTTGAATTTTTAAAAAATAGATTAACAGAATGGGCTCGGTGTTTGAGAATCGAAGTGGAATATGCTGTCAACTTGTTACATGTTCAGCCGATTGGTATGTCTTATTTCAAACATTTCCTAATATGTTTTCATACGATATGTTCTTTTTTCTTAGGTGCTCCTAAAATCAGTGTCTTCTTCTGCTCCTTAAATAATCTTTATTGTAGTAATTTAATCTAACACCACTAAAGGACAGAATGTTATCGATTTTTGCTGGTTTTAAAAATCTCTTTATAGAGATAAATATGTTGTAAAAAGAGCTAGGCTTTATAAAACTAAGAGTTCATAATGAAGTAGAAAATATGAAGAGTAATGCTATTTATCTTGCATCCAAGTACTAGAAAAACTTTACCATTCCAAACAGCTTTGACCCCAATAGAAATAATGACACCTTAAGTCATAGAAGCTGACAGCAGCCCAAATAGCTGTGGAGTGGCAGGAGAAGGCATAAGTGACATTAGCAGCAGCCATGGGCAAGGTGTAGGGGAGATATGATTAGTCCTGTGGGCATCTATTGGGGAAAATTCTGTGATTGAAAGGAGCAGAAATTGACTGTGGCTAACTTAAGGGGAAAAAATTAATTTATTGGAAATAAATGTATTGAATGTTTATGCCAGTACTCTACTAGGTGCTTAATAGGTTAACTATTTTTATATTCACAACAACCCTGAAAAATACTTATGGATAGAGGAAATGCTCTGAAGGCAGATGCATTTTCTACCTGTAATTCACTATATACTTGTAGCAGGAACAGATGGCCAGCCCCTTCCATCTGAATGAATACTTGTACATAGTGAGTTATATATGTACCTCTATCCTATACTGTAGCTATAAGTAATGATGTTGCTGAATCAATGAAGAGCTGACTCAGGCACTGGAAAGAGCCCCAAGGATTTGGGTAGCAGGAACAGATGGCCAGCCCCTTCCATCTGAACAAATGAGCTCCAACCATTGTGTCACAGTGCTCAAGATTCAGAGAGAGCGGAAAAGATCTTCTGAGCCTTTGTTGCTTCATGAACCCACCCCTTTGGCCAGGGAAAGAATGGCAAAGCACCCTGAGTGACAATGCCAACCTGACTGCATTCTATGGGAAAGGGGCAGTTCCCCAAAGAAAAAGGGAGAAGTTGTCACCCAAGCAAAAGCAACATCTCACCCAAAGGGCCATACGGAATGTTATGCAACAATTAAAATTGTATTATGATTTCATGGGGAAATGCTTATGCTATAAAGTTGATTGTAAGTAACTGCATGTAAAGGTATGGCTCTTTAGTAGCCTCAGAGAACATTTAAAAGCATATCGACATAGGTCCTTGTTTGTTGTTTATAATGATGGCCCTTGAGTCTGGAAGAAAGGAAGGGTGTTGGTTGGTTAAATTATTATTTTATATGTTTATTTATGTAAACATGGAAATATTTCCTTCAAAAGTTGTTAAAGTAAAAAATAAAGTTTAAGCATTTAGAAAAGCTCACTTTTAGGTATCTAGAAAACTCATCCATTCTAATCTTTATACTTCGGCCATGCTAAGGGTCTTATAAAATAAGTTTCTGTTAATAAGAATGTGTGACTGATTCATGTAGAAATTTCAGCTGATGCTATCTGTATTTAGCAAACCATTCATGAATAATACAAATTAATGCTGTAAATAAGACTTGAGAAGAGCTATACAATATTAAAAAACAACTTTAACTATAAGCATGTTTAAAACAGATCTTAATATGCCACTTATGGTGTTTTTTTCAAGGATTTATATTTTGGTAACATAAAAATGATTAATATTTTTATTAATTTTAACCACTTATTCATTATTAGGATGAAAATGATTAATATTGATTACACAATTCATATAAGTAAATGTTTTGTTAGTCTTAGTTGAGTTGCTATTTGTTTATCTAAGTACTTTAACTTATATATCTTAATTTTTATTATACCTTAAATTCATTATTTGGGTTATTTATAATATATATATCTCAGTTAATATAATTAGGGGGATAATATGGCATATTCTTTGCCATTTTCATTATATGTTTTCATGTAATTAATACAAGGCATTTTTATACTAAAGTACTGTAGAAGTATTAGTATAAAGTATTGTAACTTTCATTATCAGAAACGTATTCTTCACAGTTTGATTATGAAAATCAAATGAGATAATGTATGTGAAAATTCATTATAAAGTTTCACACATATACAGAGTGTTATTTTCAGTGCACGCTGTATATGTGTAGAACTTTATAAATAATTTTAATAATAAACCAATAAGAAAGGAGTAATAAGAGGAGAAATAACACTTGTTGGGTGCCTACTATGTGCAAAGCACATAATATCTGACTCCATCAGTGTATACATTATTTTTACTATGTTGCTTTTAAGATTATATCATTTTGAGAAAACATCAAAAGCACAGTCAATAAAAGAAAAATATAGACAAATTAGAGTTCATCAAAATTAAAACTTCTGTGCTTCAAAAGGCACTATCAGGAAATTGAAAAAACAATGGGAAAAATATTTGTAAATCATATATCTGATAAAAGACTTGTATCCAGAATATATAAAGAACTCTTACAACTCAACAATAAAAACACAAATAACCCAATTAAAAAGTGAGCAAAGACCAGGGACTGGACCCACCCCCCCCCCAACCAGGCACACCACTAGTGCCTCGGGGCCCACCTGAGGCATGGATCCAGGGACCAGACTGCCCCGCCCCCCACAACCAGGCACACCGCCAGCACCAAGGAGCATGCCAAAAACATCAC